GTTGAATCATTGGTTGAGGTTGTTGAGGGATCGTAGAATACATAGCAGGTTGAAGTTGCGGTGGCACTGCGGCCGCATTAGGCACGTTAGGCGGAACATAATTTGGCGGAGGAACGAGTGAGGGTGGATTTTGTACAGGATTAGGTTGAGATTGTGCTTGAGGATTGCTATGCAGTAGTACACGCTGCAGATTTATTCATTAAAGATTCTGAGTAAGAAATTTTCATATTCATAATCAAAGAGTAGAACAAAGTCTATTACCGGTAGTATTGCTGGATCGACTAAATTCTGTTGTAGCAGTGCTTGAAATAATGCATATGAAAGTTGAGGATTTTGGGCTAATAGTAATCGAGCTTGATCTTGATGTGTTTGGATGAGCAACTTTTGATGAGATCAGTCAGTCAAATAATTAAGAAAGGTGCATTAATCACTAGTTAGATTTGTCAAAAAGAGATAATAACAAATACCTTCATTGTGGACAAAATTTCAAGAAGTTGAGCCTGAGTCATTGAGTGCTGAACTGTTTGTGAAATACTTTCGATTGCAGATTGCTGCGGTGTATTTTGCGGAACAATTGATTGTGGTGGTTGCTGAGAAGGTGGTGGTGGTCTTTCTACGTTAGATCTTTCAGGCGGTGGAATCGAAGGTGCATTTGCGGGATCCCCGTCAGCATAATCAACTCTTAACTGTCTTCCACCAACCTCTACATTATTGAGGTTGCGCACTGCACTTGCAGCTGTTTCGGCATCTTAAAATCAAATTAATTTAAAATATAAGAAGCAAGAAGTAAAAAGAATTACGAAGTCTATATACCGTGATATTCGCAAAAACCATATCCTCTAGGCCTTCCGCTGTCTCGATCAAATACAAGGCTTTACATCAGAAATATTGGTTAGCTTTTAATTGAGTACTCCGATTACAGCGGATCATTGTTAAAAATTTTAAAAATCACAAACCGAAAAGATACGACTGGTCCAACTTCTTTGAATACCTCTGTTAACTGCTCTTCGGTAAGTTCGTACGGTATATTTCCAACTGTAATAATTGCATACAAGTTAAATGCATGTGCTCGTCGAAGGTTTACAAAGAGGAAAATATAAACTACCAAATACAACGTTAGAGCCTCTCGGTCCACTCATCGTTTAATCGCTCAAGCAGTTACAAAAAAAACTCGGTTTCAGTATTTTCTGATCTATTTAGTTGGAATTACTAAATTTATAGTACAATTGATAACTGTAACATTTGTTGGCCAGAGTTACAAATTGCATAAAATCTCACGATAATCTTGATTGATAATAAAGTAATAAGGCCCTATATAAGTGTACATGTTTGGGGAACCGTCCAATGTTACACGAATCACACTGTGATCGACATTGCACATGTCATGTTGACCGATTTTCCACGTGAGGTTTTTACGGACGGATGCAACAAGTTTAATTAATTAAAATCGATCATAATT